GGAAATCTTGAATTTTCTGGTGGCCTCACAGAAGTGGAGAAAACCAGGGGAAATTAGCTAATATTTTATTTGACCCAGAAATCGGAAATACCATCTTTCAACCTGTAATCAACATGAGCACTATTAAGAAGCACTTTACAGATTTTGTGCAGACTTCCTACTAGAAGCCCGGAATTTGCTCTCTGTGATGGGTACCTGAGGGGCTCTGTGGTGGCCGGGCTGACGGGAGGCCCTTCTTCCTAGAAGTCTGGGGTGCGCTCTCCATGACGCACACCCATGGTGGCTGGCGGACTGGAGGGCCGGTCATGACTGCGCAGGACCGAATGTCTTGCATTTCGTGGTCACGTACCTGTCTGTAGCCCGGTCCTCACCTCTGCACATCCTGGCTCAGGTGCCCCTTCAGGCTGGGCCCCTGGGGGCAGAGCTGCTGGCTTTTGCTGCGTTGTGCTGGGCACACAGGTCACGCTCGGTGCGCAGTCACGAGCAAAGGGACGGACGGATGGATGAGGTCAGGAGCGTCTGCCCTTCCTGGGTCCTTTCCTGTCCTTTCTCGCCCGGTGGCTCCTGACTTGCCATTCCAGCGGGAGACACCTGCTTACGCCTCCACCGGGTGCTGGCCACACCACTTCCTCTCTTCCGCAGACAGACCCAACTTCCTGTCGCCCAGGGAGGGCCAGACACCTTCACTGGCCAAGGCGTGTGTTCTTGGGGCCTGGAGCCTGGAGCCCTGTGGCCAAGCAGCTGGGCAGCGTCCCCCCGAGCGGCCCCGGATCTGTCAGCTGCAGGGGGAGGCCGAGGGGCTTGCAGAGAGAGCCCCGTCCAGGTGTGATCCAGGCACAGAGCAGAGCGATGGCTCGGCCCCTGTCTCTGGTGCACCTAACAGCTTATGCTCGGTCGCTCCTTGGGAAGATTTTAAGGTAAACATAACTCATTCTGTACCTGACGTCAGAACTTGAAAATCTGGGCCAAAGAGGCCGAGAAGCAGTGTCCTCTCCTGTTCACTGGCGGCCTCAGGGTGACCAGCCTCGGTGCCACTGCGCAGGCTCAGGGCCTCCCCGGGTCCACGGCTGCGGGTCAGCACCTGGGATGCATTTCCTCCCTCAGACATTTGTCCCCCGAACCCGCTGCGTGCCTGCACTGCCCCTCTGGGCGGACCATCCAGCGAGAATTGCATTTCTTGTTAAACTTACCTGCTAAACTATCTGTGTTTCCCACGGATGATCACTTATTTATCAAAACTGCTGCTCCCGCCACTACCACTCTTACTTGGACCACGAGCGGTGACTGTGGCGACGATGACCGAGTGCTAACGGGGACTGAATCCTAGGAAGGCCCCCGTAGTGGCGGGTCCTCGCAGCCGCGGGGGACACTTAGTTTGTGCTTTGTACCTACGGACACTGTCACGGGCACTCTGCACGCATTCACGACCCAGGGAGGGAGGGACGTTCTTGTCCCCGTTGACACATGAGGGTTGAGGTACAGAGTCGGGAGGCTCGCCCAGGGTCGTGTGACCAACCGAGGCAGGACTGGGATCTGAGAGCCCCGTTGGCGGGCAGGCTCACTGGGCCGCCAAGCGCTGACACCGAGCGCCACCACGGCCCGGACGTTTTGTTTCAGGGGTACAGGGATGCCTGCACTTAGACGTCACAAAGGAGGCCGGTCACCCCGTGGCAGAGGGCCGTGGGGTCATGACGGCAGCAGAGCGGGGCTTGGATCCAGGTCCTCTGACGGCTGAGCCGTAGCTTGCCGCTCCCTCGCCCTGCCACTTCAGCCCACGCTCCGGGGAGCCTCCGCAAGGGGCCAGCCAAACAGGGAGCTCTGGGGGCTTGGGAGGGGCCCTGGCCCACTCTCCTGGAGCCCAGGTGTGCTGGCGTGTCACCACCGCGTCCTTCCCGGGACACACACGTAATCCTGCTTTGCACGTGGCGGTGTGATTCATCAGGCTGGAAAAATAAAACCCTGTTGGTGAGAAGCACCTGAAGTGAAAACGTTTGCTGTCTCATGTTAGCAGCCTCCTCTTGGAACCCACCCATTTCCAGGTGGAAGGTGTCCTGTGCCGTGCTGTTTGTGGTGGTGAACTGCTGGGAACGGCCATCTCGGGGCTTCTGACCCGCTTCCCCGGGGGCTTGCAACAACACCCCTGCCTGTGCCGGGGCTGTGTGCACCTGGCCCGCCGGTACCTGAGGGGGGCACTGGTGGCCTCCGCGGGGGATGGCCCGTGACAGGGAAGTCTGGCTGCCATCCACAGGCTCACGACGGAACGTCAGGGTGTCCGGAGTGCGGGCCAAGCCGCTCATCATCCCGAGAGGCGGGCCGTTATGTCCAGGCCCACCCCTGGGATTCCGGGCTGGCTGTCCCATGGCTCGACCTGGGTGTTAGTGGGGTTCTGGAGCTCCCCGGCTGATTCTGAGGTGTGGACAGGGCTCAGAAGCGCAGACCTCCAGGTGTGCGGGCGGTGCCCTCCCCGCGGACAGCACAGGTCAGGTGCCCACGGAGCACGTGGTAACGGGCTAGCAGTGAACGGCAGGTGCCCCGGGGCGCACTCTTGCTGCGGCTGTGTTGACAAGCGGCATCTCGCGGAGCACCGGGGAGAGACTTACAGGGACCCGACTCGTCTGATTTCTTAGGACGGCAGCGTCGTGAGCCAACCTTCCTCTCCTTGTCACTTGTCATGTCTGCTCACAGGGCAGGGCGCTGTTGATGGAGCTCCGTTTCGTCTTTCTGCAGTTTGTGGGACGCAGCCCTTCCTGTCCACCGTTGCTTCAAAGGCAGACCCCCCCCCCCCCGCCAGGGAGGGCCGGACCCCTGGGATGTGACCCGCTGACAGCTTCACGAGCGATGGCCCTTTACCTGAATGATGTGGGTAATGCAAAACAGCTCATGGCCAATAACCGTCCGTGCCTCCCGGATCGGAGCCATCTCTGCCCGGTGCATAAATAAGACAGGCCTTTTTAAAGAAGAAATCTGTATTTAAGGACGCGTTTGGCTGTGTTCTTTGCCTCCCGTAAAGGTCACCCGGATAGATTTTTCCTTCTTTAGCATTGCAGGCTGCGAGGCGCTGGGCTTTTCTATTCTCCCTCCATCCAGTGAACCTGGGGGACTAAATTAGATTCTGAAATTGAGTGTGCAGCGGGGTTGGTGAGTTACCGTAATGGGAGGGTATTGCTTCTCACCTCGCAAGTAGCGAGGTCATGATAATATGAAGCGAAGTGGATTAAAAATAAAACCAAAGGTATTTATTTACGACCTGCTCAGAATTGGATTGGCGTCCGTGTAAGTTGCACCTAATGGTGAAAGACAGCAGATTGATGTTGATGTGTCCCTGGGGACATTCTGCCACTGAAATTTGCTCCGTGAATTCAATTTCAAGGCCCCCACAAAGTATCCCAGATGCAACAGGAAATGGGGTTGAGGAAGGGGTAAAGTGGCAGCGGTGAGGCGCCAGTGCAGGCGGGTCCTGGGGGCGGCTCACGGGCGGGGGAGCGCCCTGCACGGCACAGCAGACACGAGGCGCCGCGTGGCTCCGCGCCCAGCCCCTGGCGGGAACTGAGACCCCACTCTGCGGATGAGGAGCCTGAGGCCCCCCACGCCCCCGAGGCGGGCAGTGGCGGGTGTGAGTCCAGACGTGCTGCGGAGCCCGAGGCCTGAGCGCTCCCAGCGCTGGCCCACAGGTGAAGGGGTGGGGCTCGGAGAGGAGGGTCGGCCCAGGGCTGGGCCAGGATGTGAATGGAGCACCTGCCTCTCTCTCGGCAGCCCCTCCTCATGCCTCCCACCCTCTGGTCGCAGCCTTGCGGGGACAAGAGGCTCGGGCGGGTGGGGCCTGTGTGAGTCTCCCCTTCGGCAGGCGGGGGAGGGGCAGCCCCGGTCTGGGGCCCTCCCTGTGCCCTGTTCCCTGCTGGGACTTTGGAGGAGTGGCACCAGCCCCTTGGAACCCCAGCCACCCTTTGGGCTCACTCGGGTCTGGTCTGATGGGCTGGGCGGGTGGGAGGGGCCAGAGCCGGCTGGTATCTGCATGGTGCCAGCCTGCCCCCTGAGAGGGAGTCTGGCCTCCGGCCTTGCCCTGACCCCATGACCCAGGCCCCCATTCCTCCTCCCTGGAGATCCCCCCCACCCGGGAAGCCATCCTGGCCACACAGCCCTCCCCAGTCCTGCTAAACCCCCCTGGGTGCTGGGGCCTGTGGCCCCCAAGACCCACCCCGCCCTTGGTGGTGTCGCTGGTTGCTCTGGACGAGGACTGTGGTCCGTCAGAGGAGCTGATCAGTGTGCAGGGAGGGCTGCGTGTATCGCTGAGGCCCTGGGCCGTGTTTTTCCTGTCCAGCACCTTCCTCCGTATCTCTGACTCTGGTTTCCAAACCGTGGGCTCTTGAGATAGTTCCTGTGTCCTATGGGGGTGGGCTGGGGGCAGCCGAGGGTCTGCAGCCTGGTCTTTCCTGGAAACAGAGTATCAAGTGAAGACTGTGACAGGGGCTCCACGGTGTGTCCCCCCCGCCCACCCAGCAGGGGCACACACCTGTCCATGGTGGCCCTAGTGTCCCTGCTGAAGGAATGTCACCGGAGGCAAAGAAATCTGGGCCCGAAGTCGACCCAGGCCAGGGGGTAGGGGGCCCTACTTCTGGATTCTGCAGGGTCTTGGGCTGGGGTGGCGCACCTGCAGCCAGCCAGCACCCCCCCCCCCCCGCCGCCACCCGGACCAGCACCCGCACCGTGGAGCGCGAGGGGTCCATTCAGAGAGGTCACAGCTGTGAAGCGTGGGTAGCACTGCCCTCCGCGTCCCAGCAGCATCGCCAAAAAGGGATGGGGGGGGCACGTGAGGGCCTTCCTCCTGGCCACGGGGCTTGGGGCCTTTCAGGGTACAGAGGGGAGGGGACGCGATTCACGGCATCTAGGAAGCTGTGAGCCCCCTCTGGCTCATCCCCACTGCTGGCCAGTCCCCACCGAGGGGAGCCCCCGCCCCGCTACTGGTCGCCTCCTCTGACCCGGGCTTGTCTGTCTCCCCCCAGGAGCTGCTGCTTTTCCTTCAGAACCTGCCCACGGCCCACTGGGGTGACGAAGACATCAGCCTGCTGCTGGCGGAGGCCTACCGCCTGAAGTTTGCTTTCGCGGATGCCCCCAATCACTACAAGAAGTGAGCCAGGGCCAGCACAGCCGTGGCTGCGGGCCGGTGGCCAAGGAGAGGCCTTGTTGGAGCGGCCTGCCCTCCAGGGGGCTGGCCAGGCCCCGGGCGCAGGGGAGGGCCGGGGCCTGGCCAGGGGCGCCTCTGTTGCCTGAGATACCAAAGAGAGCCAGGGGGAGGGTCCTGGCCGCTCAGGGGGCCAGAGGTGGGTGGGCGTCTCCCTCCCTGTCCCCGGAGCGTCCTTGCCAAATGACCACCTCCTGGAGCCCCCAGGGCGCGGCAGCCCCGAGAGCCAGACCCTCCGGGAGAGGCCTGCTGTCTGGTGCCAGGGGCAGAAGGAGGTGGTGGCCATCTCATACCTGCTTTGAAATGCAAAAATCCTATTCTGTTGAGTGAAAGAGAATAAAATATAGACAAAATAAGAAGCGAACCGCCCTAACCTGTGAAGTCTCCGTCCCCACAGGGCTTCTGGGCGTTGGCCTTGTTCCTGTAACTGCCGTCACTTTTGCTGTGGCTGTCCCTTCTCTCTTGGTGAGGCTCTGGCTCGGGAGCAGGGGGCAGGAGCGGAGTAAAGGCCCTGCTTTGCATCCCGTCCTCTTCAAAAGGAGCCCTCAGCCCTCAGGAGCCCCTGTGCTGTTCCACCGGGAGGGGAGGGGCTCAGGGCCCTGTGGCCCCGGGGACGAGCCACACAGGCTGAGGCCGGGGATCCTGCGCCCTGCGCTGGGCCCGCAGGATGGGCAGGGTTCGGCCTCGATAATCGGAGCTCTCGTACCACTCGCCTCAGCCTGGCCGCACCTTCCACGTCTCCGGCGGGTTACAGACATGCTTGCTCCCCGCCGTTCGTTGGTCACCAAGCAGAGAGCCCAGGTGCGGAAGGTTCTGGACTGGCCTGCCTGGGGCTCTGCGGGGTCCCGGCACACTTCCACCCGCCCCTGCCTGTGCAGGCGTGTGGCTGGCAGGGACGTGGATGCTCCGAGGCTCTGGGGACAACTCCGACCCCTCAGCCGGGACAGGTCCTTGTCCTTGGCACCTGCTTCTGGTCCTGGAACAGCCAGGCCAGTGCCCCGTGTTTGCACAGCTCGGCGTGAGGACGCTGCGGGGAGGCTGCAAACGGGACTTGAGTACATACACAACGTGTGACACGTGTGTCCTTCTTCTCATTAAAAACATTCCTCGGTCATTACATGTGGTGTGGAAATCAGCACAAAATGCTTTGTGAATGGGAGGTGCTCCCAGGTCAGCAGAGGGCTTGCCTCAGAGCCCCAGCCCCTGGGGTCGGGGGCTCCTCTCCAGCACCCAGCGGCCCTCCGGCTTGCACCCTTTCTCAGCCGGGGCACCCGGTTCCAGGAAGAGCCGCCCATGGCCGTGTGCAGGCAGCCCCTCCCCCACCCCGGCCCCCAGGAACTGCTGTCTTAGCTCAGAGCGCTCCGTGCGGCCAAGGTGTCGGGCCCCCCAAACATCTGCCTCTCGAGGCCGTTTGTTCTTCAAACAGGAGGATCTGCGACTTTAAATGAGGTTCCGCATGGATTTTCCTGTGCTTGTGTGTCTGACCCTGAAGTTGAATGCAGGCTTGTTGATGCGCGAGTGCCTATGAGTCTGAGCAGGTCGATTTGGAACGATTAAAGGGTGTTCTGTCTGGAATACGATGTGTTCAAATGGGAATAAAGATGCAGTGAACCCCCAGCCTCTGCCTGATTCAAGGACTCTCCTAGGGGAGCGGGGGAGCCCAGGGACAGCTGAGGGTGGGGCATGTGTGCCAGACCTGACCCGGGCGTGGCACCCGGTCTTGTCGAATCCCGGGGGGACCTCTCAGGGAGATAGAGGTTCAAGGCAGAGCAGGGGTCAGTCGTACTTGGGTTGGGCCCCAAACCCCAGCCCTGCACCACTGGGGGTCACCTCCAGGCCGGCCTGGGACAGGAGGGGCCTCCCCACCCTGCCACAGCAGACGAGTGCCTTCCGGGACCCGGGATGTAGCCATCCCTGCTTCCTGGCTCCCACCCTCTTGGCCCCGTGAGCCCCAGCTTCTCAGCTGCTTTTACGGTGCCCCGTGCCCCTCGGCACCCCACGTCCGCACCTCCCTCCATGGTGGGGACTCCCCAGGCAGTGCTCTGCTCTCTGCCGTCTTATGCCGTCCACTGGTGGGGTGGGGTCAGGTGCCGTCCCTGGGTGGGGGGCAGGAGACCCTGCCGGGTGATAATGCTCACCCTGCCCCTGTGGCTGAGTACCGCGCTGAGCTGGGGCTGACGCCAGACCTTGTCACTGTGCTCGCGGGACGGAGACGCAGCGGCCCTCCCCGGTTGGAAGGTGGAAGGCTCCGGTGCGGGTCACAGCTCAGAGCTGGCCACCGCTACTGTTCGTAGTCGCGATTTGTTGGCGTTCGTGGCCCGGCTCTTCGGGCCCACTTCGGGGTCTCAGTCCCCACAGGTGGCTCGAGCCCCGGGGTCCTGAGGTACGCCCCTGACCCCCGTCCCCGTGAGCTTCCCCCTGCCAGGCCACCTGGGGAGGCCTTGCCTGTCAGCACTGCTGCCACGTGGAAGGTGCCAGAGACGAGCTCCTGGGGCAGCCGGGTCCCAGCAAGGTCAGACGTGCCAGGGAGGGGTGAGGTCCCGGGAGGCAGGGAAAGGTCGGGGTGGAGGCCTGTGTGCCCCAAAGGACGAGCCGGTGGGCAGGGCTTCTGTGCCGGTGCCGAGCCTGGCTCTGAGGTGGGAGGAGCCCCCTCTGTGTTTGAACAGGCCAGTCCCGTCTCTGACGTGCCTGGGCCTCCGGGTGCCGTCTGCCTTGAGCTGGACGATTCCCGCTCGGGCACGGCCGGTGGGTGTGCGGTCAGAGCCACCGTCCTGTGAAGCTTACTCAGGACGTGGGCCACCACTGCTCCATGTCAGGCAGTGGGGGCCCTCCCGCAGCCCCCCCCCCGTCCCGCCCCACCCCAGTGGACCCTCTCTCCTTTACCCCCCTGCCTGCTGCTCGTTGGCACCGTGGGTCATGGCTGTCCTCCAGGCCTGCCTCCCTCGTCCAGTAGCCCCTGATTCAGCAGCCGCCGTGTGACCACACGCAAAGGATCTGACTCCCAGCCCGTCCCCTTGCCAATTGGAAGCTGATTGTTCATCTAGGGAAAAAAACATACGTATCCAAATGCATTCCAGACAGATGGCTTTAAACATACAAATTAAAATTCCCTAAAGTGCCCACAATACAAATAGATATTTTTATAACAGGGAGTGGCCAACGGCTTTCCTAGCGTGACGCCAGTGACCACACAACCCAGGCTGATGCAGCGCGGAGCAGCCGTGAGGACGGCCAGCGCCCAGGCGAGGATCAGTGATAGCAAGCTGAGCAGACACGTGAGACGCTTACGTTCCTGAATACGTACAGGGTTCTCGGAAGTAACTCTTCAAATAAGAATGCGCACAGCACAGAAAGCGGGCAGTTCTCCAGGAGGAGGGGCACAAGAGGTCAGTAAGACGTGCCCGTCAGTAACAGTCGAGTGGGGGGAGCGGGCATGAGACGTGGGGCTCCGTCGGCAGTTGCAGGGCGGCCCTGGGCCGAGCTGGTGGCAGCTTGTTTCGCGACCATGGAAGACCAGTCTGCTCTCTCTGTCTTTATGTTTTTCTCAGCGGCTTTCGTTGTCGCTTCTACTTTTAGACCGAAGCGTAATGCTCGCAGAAGGGGGCACCTCACAAATCTAGTGCCCCGTGAGTGATCCCCAAGCAGGCACTGGGCTCCACAGCTGTGGTCAAGGAGAGCCCCTGGCCCGCACCCCGCATCTCCCGGGGGGCCCCTCTTCCCAGCGTTCACGCCACCCCAGCTCTGTTGTCTGAAGGAGTTGCACAGGATCCCTGTTGGTGAGTGACTCGCCTTTCCCCGCTTTCTGCTTGTGGACGCCGCGTCTGGGGTAGCTGTGGTTTGTTCCTTTCTGTCGCTTTCCCCTTGTATGAATGGGCCACAACAGATTTGGGTTGTTTCCAGTTTGGGGCTGTTACAAATCCTGCTGCTGTGAACACCGCGTGCGTGTCCCTTGGCACAGCGTCCTGCCGGGTGCTCGTCAGGAAGTAGAATTGCAGGGCCGGGTGGTGTATTTCAGCCACTCTCGTAGATGATGGCAGACTCTTTGCCAAAGTGGTTTTCCAGTTTACATTTCCACCGCAGGGCACGAAGGTCCTCGTTCCCCCACGTCCTCACCCACACTTGGGATGGCCTTAGCCGTTCTTGGGGAGGGGGTGCATCGTATCACTCCCCTCGACCCCAGCCTCCCTCACGTCCCCCGGCGCTGGGCAGGGTCTGTTTCCTTCCTGCCGAAAGAAAGAAAGAGCCCTCCAGAGGACACCTCGCAGCGCTAATATCCTAAGTGCTTTCTCCTATCATTAAAATTCGTCAGACATGATTTTAACGACTGCATAATATTGTGTTGCATGGATTAACATAATTCATTTATTCCCTTACTGTACATCAAGTTGCTTCCAGTTTTCTCCCGTTGCCAATGATGCTGTGATGAACATCTATGTTTCTGAGTGCTTTTCCAGCATGGATTTCTAGTACAGGTGTCCCCTGCTTTTCAAAAGTTTGCATTACCCCACGTCACTTTTACGAGAAACCCACATTGGTACCTGTTTTCTCTAACCAGAAGACATCCAGAGAGGACTGTCGCTTTTATGAAAAAAGGCAAAAGGGGAAAAATGGCATTCAGCGTTGGTTCCACAACGGGCTGTTTTAGATGCAGCGAGAATGATGTCCGCATCTCGGCATCCGGCTGCCACAGCTCTGAACCATGTCTGTCGGCATCAGTCCCTTATCTCAAGCTACTTTGTGCATCTGTTAGCAAGATGTGCTTGCCCTAAGGCGCCAGAAAAGCCTAAGAGGTGATTTTTTTGGGTCTGGGAATACTGAGACATCTTTTCATAGAAGTTCATGTTAATTGTCTCTTTCCTTTATGCCACTTTGGCTTAGGGAAGATTTTAGGAATGGTCCACTTTCGGATAGCAGGGGAACCTTGTGATGGGATTCTCCCGTCATTGGCGGGGAGTGGGTGAGTTGGCAGAGAACTCACGCGCCCCCCCCCGCCCCCCCATCTTCAGGGACCTGCAGCAGGCGGCTGCGGACCTGCTCAGCCGGGTTACTCGGGAATGTCTTAGAAAATGCAAGTTTAAGAAACTATTTAAAATTTAAGGGTAGAAGGGGTGTGCCTGGGTGGTTCAGTTGGTTAAGGGTCCAACTTTGGCTCAGGTCATGATCTCGTGGTTCATGAGTTTGAACCCCGCGTCAGGCCCTGTGCTGACAGCTCGGAGCCTGGATACTGCTTTGGATTCTGTGTCTCCCTCTCTCTCTGCCCCTCCTCCATTGATGCTCTGTCTCTGTCTCTCAAAAATAAATAAACCTTAAAAAAATTTTTTAAAATTTAAGGGTAGAAATAGAGCGTATAACTTCCAGGAGAGGGGAAAAGAAAGCAAATGAACAAAACTGATCAAGTCCAGAGAAGCTGGGAAAGAGGATCTGGAAAAAGCAAAGGGACAATGTGGTAAATAGCATAGGCCGTGTAAGTCCATGTAAGCAAGGGGTCATGGTAACTTAAACTCACCTGTGCAAAGAGATTCACATCATACTTTTTAAAACCCCATAAAATCCAGTAACATACTGTTTACAAGAGATACACCTAGGCACAAAGTTTGAAATAAAAGGATGAAAAAAAGTGTGAGAAATATTAACCAAAAGAAAGCATGGCCGAGAATATCTGTGTTCTCCTAAAACGTATCTGAAGAGCATTCACAGGACAAAGGGGCTCGTATGTCCTACGATCACAGAGCATGCCAGTCTCTAGTCTGTGTAAATAAAAAAACGGAGCCCCATCTGAAAGCAAAGACCGAGACAACTGTGGACAAAGATCAGCCTTTCCACGGCGCATGGGATGTGCTAACGCACCTCTTGCAGAAAATGTGGACTGAGCAGGGGAAAGTTTAAAAAGGAGAGATTTAAAGAAAAATCATTTTTTGATCTAATAGAATTTTGCTTTCCACAAACAATGTGCATTTACTTCTAGCACATGAGAAACACTTACAAACGTTTGACCTGTCACAAAGGAAATTTTTTTTTTTTAATTTTTTTTTTTAACGTTTATTTATTTTTTTGGGACAGAGAGAGACAGAGCATGAACGGGGGAGGGGCAGAGAGAGAGGGAGACACAGAATCGGAAACAGGCTCCAGGCTCTGAGCCATCAGCCCAGAGCCCGACGCGGGGCTCGAACTCACGGACTGCGAGATCGTGACCTGGCTGAAGTCGGACGCTTAACCGACTGCGCCACCCAGGCGCCCCCACAAAGGAAATTTTAAGAACCCAAAGCCTCAATAGTATACAGGCCCATACGTTCTGTCCAGAGTGCAATAATGTTAAAAATCAAAACCAATGAGAGAAAACTTAAATGCCAAAACTCCCATGTACATATAAATAACCTCCTAAAGTAGAAGTGGAATCATACTGAAAATTGCAAAACAACAGTAAGAAACTAAAGTAGCGGACTTGGGGGATGCAGCTAACACGGTAATTAGAGGAAAATTTATAGCCTTAAAAATACATTCTTAGAAGACAATAGATACTTAAAAGAATTTAGCTCCACATTCAATTTAAGCTGGAAATAGAATATGAGAGCAAAAGTGCAAAAAAAAAAGAAAAACCATGAAGATTAGCATGATAC